AAAAAAAAATTACTCCAAGCGACCTCGAGCTTAGGAGTAAAATTGGCAATCATGATCCTCAGACAAATCTGAAACCTGTCATAAATGCAGATCAAAAAGACGTATGTGTCGCTTCATATTCTGACTCATCGATTCCCGCGATTGATCTAAGCCCTTCAACACCTCTTGATCCAATGTTTATCATTGCAAAGGTCAGGTATAAATACCCCTTTTGTTTTTATTTTCATACTTTTACTCCCCAATATTCTCAAAACTTCTCAAGAACTTCAACATTTTAAGTGCTCTTGTCAACTCCGACGTACCTCCTTAGTCATTAAATAAGCTCCATCCCCTTCGACGATCCATCATGAGTAAGTTTTCTATCTTTTCTTTTAATTATTTCTTCGCTTTTCTGGGTTTTTGATTGATTTTTTTTATGTTCTTCATGTTTTTCTAGCAAAATTTGCGTTTTGATATTTTGGATCTTGATATCCATCTGCTGATTATGTTTTTCACAATTTGACTTACGCGAACGTGTCTTGCTTAGATTCAATTATTTAAGTCGTTGTATCGCGACCTCGACGTAGTCGCATTTGTTATTTATGATGAATCTGATCGTGACTTCCTAGCTTAAAATGAACCATATAGATTAATCTCCTGACTCGATTAATCATTTGGTTGACGAGGCCCTCGAATCTTCTGATTCTTCTGTCCAAATAATAGACCTCGAGCTAGCTTATGATCAAGGTAACCTCTCTCGAGAATCAGATAATGACATTAATGGAGAGATTGACTGGAGAGATATAATCGTGCTCTGGGATCGAGCACTCCAGGGGGTTCTCCTCATTTTGAATCCATTTCTCGAGGTATTCCTCTTAGGTTTTTAGATATTCCTGTATATATGGCTAGTCCTGCTCCTATACCAACAAATGTTCCTCTTCTCGACCTAAATACACCTGTTGTAACAATACCATGTCCTTTAGCTAGAGTAGCCACCCTAAATCCCTTTTTTCTTATGCCCCTGCAGCTGAGCTCACGGGCTTTAAGTCGTATTGCAAGCTGCCATCCGATTGGGATTTGATCGCCTCTGGTCCCAATGACGATTATGCTCATCCTCCTCGGGGTTGTTAATACCTTTTTTATGGATCAAGTCATGTTTGGGCTTTTCTTTCCCATCCAACACGAGCTGCTTACCTTTAGCAATTTGTGCCATATTCCTGTCAATAAATTTGCTCCCAATTCTATTCGTATTACAATTTCCTTCATCATGATATCCAAAATAAAGCTTCGCGAGTTCTTGCCTAAATTTTTCTTTTATTGCTACGGTTATAAGTTCCAAAAAGGGACACACTGGTTAGGTCGTCGTAGTGGGGCCCTGCTTTTAGATGACCTAGCCTCGAACATGACGGAATGGAAGTCAAAGTTCTTGTTTGTTCGACCTCCCTCTGGATATTATTCCTTTACCAACACATGGTTCACTGAGAAAGTTAACCAGCGTAATAAGTCGAAATCTACTCAATTCGCGGAAATGGTGAAAGAATTAAATAAACACACCTGGAGCGCTCGCCAAATAGTGAAGGATCCCACATTGTGATATCAATGTGGCATCACCCGAGAAAGCGATGCTTCTATTGAACACGACCTCGGTAGTTCGTCATTCCTCATACGTCAACTTCCTGTTCGTTTATCCTCCTCTCACTGTTTTCTTCTTTCATAGATTCCTATCTTTAACGCTTCGAGGTGAAGAAGCAGAAGAAACCCACCGAGGGTGGGTCCTCAGGTCGCCCATCTCCGCCTAAGAAGCAGAAGAAACCCACAGAGGGTGGCTCTGGCTCGGGCCATAAGGAGGTCATGGTCGAGAAGACCACAGGTTGTGCCTCAGCAACAGGGAGTTCTCCCTCTAAGAAGTCTGCCCACTCTGGCCCACTTGAGGAAGCGATCTTCTGATCAACGAGTTTTCAAACTATTGCCCGACGAGGCGAAACACCAAAAGAGTAGGGAGGATGTGACCGAGTCTGCCTCCCCTTCTCATATTCAAGTTCGTCCAGTCACCTTGGAGCAGCCTTCCCGACCCATAACAACAAATATGGCCACGAGATCACGAGTTATCTCCTCTCCGTTATTCCTGAGGCTGATAGAGCTCGTCTCGAGATCAATCCTTACGACTGATCCTACTATGCTACTGGGACCCTGACTTGGGTGATTGTCCTATTCCTTTCCTTGTTCCCCCTTATCGAGGTAATGGTCATAAAAACGCTTTTGTTTTACTTGTAATTTCTTGTGGCCATCCTCCCTTCAATGGTGGAAGAGACCTCTTCTCCCCACTCCAACATGGAAGCCTTAGGATCTTTGAATGATCATATGGACTCTCGAATTGGACTAAGGTGGCCAATATGGATAAAAGCCCAGGTGGGTTGACCTAAAGACCATCTAATTAAGCATGGAAATATCATAATTGTTCGAAAAGCATCTACGTGCGATGAAAGGATTTATCGCATATCTGTGAAGATCTTAACAAATTTGTTTGAGGTTAACAAGATAACTTGTAAAAATAGTGAAGAGACATGTATGAAAATGCTAACACACAATATTAATACTAAAAACTACACATATTAGAGACTTTCCTGAGAAGCTTTTGACTTCAACTTCGGAAACCGTACGTCGAGACCCCTATAGACGATGTTTTGCAGGGAATCAGAGCCGTTCGAAGGACGATTCAAATACCGTTGGACCGAAGTTAGGCATTTTAACATCGCTATTCATCAAAAGTTAGATTAACTAAATTTTAAATCTTAGCCCATAATCAATGTAAAAGACAAAAAAAAAAATATTGCAAATACCTTGTACATTGCTTGCACATTTAATATTTATTATTTAAATATGTAAAATTTTAACACACCAATTATGCCCTTACTCTAATAAAAATAAATTAAATAAATAAAAAATAATTAAAAATATTTTCAAATTGCCAAAGTTTGTGCATTATATATATTAAAGGTTACATATTAAGGGTACGAGAGAAGACCCAACAAATGATACATCCATGCATGGTTACAAAGCTGAAATCACAACAACATTTTATTAATAATAATTAGGAAAATAAATTTAGGTCCCTTAAGACCCACCAATGGGTCTGTTAACAAAAGGAACCACATAAAGATCCTTCTTCCTTCTAGCTGTAAACCCATAAACCTCACCCATTTCCAGATCCTCTGCCTTCACCTCAGCAGGCAGTGCCCAATCGAAATAGTAAAGCAAAACGGCCAGCAGTAGCTCGACACTGGCCAACCCGAACGTGATCCCAGGACAAACCCTCCTCCCGCTACCAAACGGGATGTAATCGAAACTTTTCCCATTAAAATCAACCGATTTTTCCATAAACCTCTCGGGTTTAAAATCCTCTGAGTCAAGCCAGCGAGTTGGGTCCCGTCCGATAGCGAATGAGTTGATAAGGATTCGAGTTCCCATAGGTATCTCATAGCCGTTGATCTTGCATTGTGATCGAGCCTCTCTTGGAACCAACGGTGTCGGTGGGTGTAATCGTAAGGACTCTTTGATGACCATCTTGAGGTATTTTAGGTCATCAAGGCTCGACTCGTTGTTGACGTCGAAAATCTGTCTCACCTCTGTTTGTGCCCTTTCGAGGACTGTTGGGTTTCTCAACAGTTCGACCATAGCCCAATCCACTACTGTGCTCGTTGTCTCGGTTCCTGCACCGAACATTTCCTGATAATTGCAAGAAAAACAAAAAAAATAATTATGTGTTCAATTAAAAATTGGTATATAATTTTTCACAATTTGTACTGTGTTTTTCGAATTTTCAACCTAAAGTATTTTTTTTTTTTTAAAATACAACCTAAAAATAAATGCTTTAAGTTCAAAATTTTAAAACACGTATAGTAAAGGTTGGAAAAAATTATTTACCCTAAAAAATCATACCCAATGAGAGATGAGGAAAGAAAATTTGATTCATGTGCACTAACCGCTGTAACAGATTTAACGTTTTCAATAGTGAGCGAAAGCTCTTGGGTCCCATCACCCTGGATTTCCAAGAGGACATCCAACAAGTCCTCGTATTTTTTTTGGCTCTTAGCTTTGGCTCGTTTGCGCTCGTCGATTATCTTCCCGATAATCCTGTCCGAGAGTCGATGAAGCCTCTCGATCTCTCTTCTGGCTGGGCTTACGAGACGAAATAGCTTGATGGAAGGGAAGGCGTCGAACAAGTGGAGGCCCGAGAAGTATTTGAGGGATTCTGTAATGATGGATATGAACTCAGCCTTGTCGCTGCTCGTCTTTCCCAAGGCCGCTCTTGCTATGATGTCGTTGTTCGTCATCGCTATTCTATGTGTCAGGTTGATTGGTGTCCCTTGTTTCAGCTCTATCCATCTGCACAGACCTGACAGAAGAAGAAGAAAAAAACAAAACAAAAACAATCAAATTAGTTGATACACATCACAAGAGATTTGTGTCTCCATTTATATAATAAATTACTAATCTACCCCTTATATATAAATATAATAATATATTATATATGTACTTAATGGTAATTTTACTTAAAAATCGAGTCGAGCAGTCTTTCGAGAATTTATATTAATCGATCTCGAGCAGAGTTCGAGTGATTGTCTTTTTTTGTCGAGTCGATCTCGAGCGTCATAAATCGAGCTCGAGCATGTAAAAAAAAAAAATCAATCATGGTCAATACTCGACTCGTTTGCAGTCCTAGACTCTTCACCATATATATGTGTACCTAAAACGGCTTCCTCTCTTATGGGGCGAAACGAATGCACGCGCTTCGTGCTCAACAGCTCCAAAGTGCATATCTTCCTCAACTGTCTCCAATACTCGCCGTAAGGGGCAAAGACGACATTCGTGCTTCCGTAGCAACTAATCTCAGCCACAAGTAGCTGAGGCCGTGCGGAAATAGCTAAATCGTTTGTTTTAAACAACTCTCTGGCAGTTTTTGATGAGGAGGCAACTATGGTGTCAACTTCGCCTAGCCGAAGGTGCATAAGCTCTCCGTATTTCTTGGCCAGACGTGTCAAGGTGCGGTGGGGAGGATCGGGACCTGCAAGAAGGTGCAAGCACCCGATAAATGGGAAATTTTGTGGCCCTCTGGGGAGTTTGCTTGTCTTATTTCGTGTGTTGATTATTAATATTAGTTTCCCAACAGAGAATAAGGAGCAGAGGAAAGAAAGAAGGAAAACATAGGACAATTCAAACACCATTGCTAGTGTGTTTGTGTGTGTGTGTGTGTGTCTTCTTTGAGATCTTTGGTCTGGTTGTTTGAGGTTACTTTGGGTGTTAATATGCAATATTTATTTTATAGAGAAAACATATTTTGTAGGTGTATTTGTGAAAATTGCTTCCCTACCTGATTTCCAACTAATTTTTCTATAGGTATATTTATACAAGACTTGTCTTACAAATTTTTTTTAGGCATGTATAATATATTTTGTGGATATATGCCTGCAAATTGTTTACAAATTGACAGCAAAACACGTTATATTTTAGTGTATTTATATATAAAATATGCCAAATTCTCAAAGTGAGGGGGTTTGACACCCGTGAAGTTCTACTATAAATGAAGATATTGGAACTTGCACTATAGGTAATTGTTGGAATAATGTTTTCAGGCATTTTACAAGAAATTACCGACGTTTTACCAAAAAAAAATAAATAAATAAAAAAACAATCCATGTTCTAACGGATTCCCTGCATACTTTTCCCAACAAAATGCCCAACACTCTTTAGCCTTTACTAATGTAATGCCTACAATCATGTGTCAAATAGATCTGGGAAAAAATGCCCAACACTCTTTAGCCTTTACTAATGTAATGCCTACAATCATGTGTCAAATAGATCTGTTGATATTTTCTGTGTCTATCAAACTACTTTTTATAGAGAATTTATGGATAATTTATTGGCATTTGACTACACATGATGAAGGTTGCAAGTTTACCACAAGCATTTTACAACCAAACTAATTAATTTGTTGGTAGAAATGTCAAACGGGCTAGTCCCTTTCGGACTAGCCCTACCAGGATTCGGGCTAAACAATTCAGGCCTAAAAAGCCCAGATTTAAATGGACTACCAATAAAGGAACCTAACCCTAACCCTAACGGGCCTCGGGCTATATGGGTTACAACAACAACAATAATAATAATAATATCATTAGGCACATTAACTAATAAAATATATTGCCAAGGGCATGCAACTTGTTCTTAGTAGTAGCCATAAAATGTAAGACCCGGGTAGAAAAGTTTTAGCTATAAAAATATTATTAGCATGTTCAATCACTACTGGTGCTGGAGAGAGTTCTCGTAGCTGTTGTCTCAAACCACTCTTACATTTAAAGCTGGATGCTCAATAAGAATGGATGAGCAGAACTTGCAGAAATTAGAATTTACATGACATATCACTTATAAAAATCACACTATACTTCTTTTCAAGTTAGATGGGTATTATAAATAAACCAAGTTACACCACACCACCATTTTATGACAAAGACAAATTCTGCAGAGACAAGCCTCATCCTTGCTTTTTATGAGCTTCACAAATATCCTGCAAAGTTCGAAAGAAACAAAACGGATGATAAGCATTAACCTTCCTTTCCTAATTGATGTGCTGAAAAGACAAATTTGAAATATCAGCATGTAATATTAGGTATGCAACACGTATATATAAATGTTAATAATACACCACGATCAGTAAACTACACATAGAAATTGTTTGTTACATTTTTTACACATTTTAAGAAAGCATCCAATATCCAATATATATATATTAAGACATAATTGAACATCTAAAAATCAAGTCCACTGTAAAAACACCAACAACAAAACGTAAATATACTCAAGTGAAAGAACAGAGGAAGTCGGGCTCTCACGACAGCACGAGGCCTAACAGAAGCTAACATTTTCAAATGGTTAAATCATGAAGAGGTCATTTTTTCACACTTCAAAATATTAGAAGCTCTTTTAGCTAATATCCAAGAATCTATAAAGGTCAAGGAGAAAAATCTCACTTAATATTCGATCTGGGAATTTGAATAGCCGAAGTCCCGGGAAAAAGAGCCTTGATGCACAAACTGTCAAGTGTCAACGTCACCCCGAGGGTTAAAAGAATAACTAATAAATAAATGCTTTGTTGTGACTCAAGCAGATTAATAATGTCAAGGATCTTCAGAACTGAAGATAGGAAAACCAAAGCAAATTGAAAAGTTCACCTGTGCATCTGTATGCAGTTGAGATCCACCAGTAGTGTCTTTCTTAGCAGATCCATCAGTACCCCTAATAGATCCCTTGGTGTCACCCTATTGACATATATATCACAAACTTACAAATGATATTATCAACTAGAAAAGGGCATGTAATGTTTTTAGAAGTGTTCATTCATACCTCTAGCTGCAAAGTCGACGTTCCAGAAATACATTGAGGGTACATGAAAAAAATAATGAAAGGTTAGATTTTACATTGAAATATCAAATATTGTCTTCAGATCTATCCAACAAAAAAGGAAACAAAAGGAAAAAGAAAAGAAAATACATAGTAATAGCCATATAATCTTAGAACAATATATTGAGAGACACCTGAGTTATATTTTTTTTAACTATCCTCGCATTCTGTGAGCAAATCAAACAGTAGAAGAAACACACAACCAACAGGATTCTTAGATTAAATGACTTCCTCCAAAATGGCCAAAAGTTGCTAATTTTCCGCATTTCTTCCACAATATCATAAATTCCCTTTTAAATTTTGTGCCATGTAAAAACCCCAGATGATGTTATGCTTGACCAGTTTACCTCAAAGTGAAAGAGACAAATGTAAATTTTTATTTATCACTTGTTTTAGTACTAAAAAATCTAAAAGTCTTTAGAATGTGTAAATGTTTAAAATATCTTCAAGTTATACAAAAAGTATAAAAAAGTATTTATACCTTGAATTATATTCTTCAAAAAGACTTAACTCATGCCTTTTACTTTGATTCTCTATATACAATTAAAAGATGCCCAATCCTATGAACCCTAAAATCACCTTTTTTCCTCCTGAATCCCTTCCTTCTATTTCCACCCCCCACCCCCTCTCTCCATCTCTCACCTACACAACTACCATTCCATTACTTCATTCTTCACCGCTCTTCAAAGACTCACAATATCTCCTTTTAGCTCACTTTTGTTTTTTTAGCAAGCTTTCCACACCCAAAAACTATTACAAGTGTTAATGTGAAAAGTTGTTTACAATACATATATCAAGAATGAAAAATATGACTTTCCCACAATAATGATTCTTTAAGTTTAATAGTAACACATAGAAATGATGCTTATTGCGAATAATTAGAGATACCTTTCATTGTTGTTAGTTGCCATTACACATGTACAACTGAATACAGATAATGGATTTAAAACATTAATTTAGTTACTTATATGCCAGATTTGCTAAAATAAAATACCATTGCCACTTTATGCATAAAACCAATGAAAAATTAAAGGCTGATAATCAGATATAACAAGGCATTCCTTGCAACATTAGAGCCAATCAATCAGAACAAGAGGATAACTTTCATTACCTCTCTGTACCTAGCTAAATAGGCCTTCAATGGAACAATATAGTCCTCAAAACCTAAAGTTGCCATTGCCCATAACAAATCATCACCGTTAATTGTCTTTCTTTTTTCTTTCTGGCACTTGTCGCTAGCTCTGTTCAACAAGCACAAAACATGGTGAAATATTATTCATAAGAAAAGAGATTCATCACAGCCAATCCATGTATTTGTTGTTCGCTAATCTGTCGGGGACATATCTCAGATCATTCAAATCAGACGTTTATGGATTACAAACATGCAAGGAGTCACATAACACATTCCCAGATCAGCAGACAAAAGATTAGGAAATGAAACATATAAATCAAATCAACAGGCAACAGACACAACTGTATTCCTTGGATCAACAGGCAAAAGAGAAGTCCTGTTTTGAGATGTTAAAAGAACCCACATTAAGAAAAAATAGCATAAGTATTAGCATCAAGGTACTTCAAATATTAATTAAGATTTAGCCTACAAAGTTCAGGACCCATTTCGTTTACTTTGTTTTAACAAAATGAGAAAGGTCAGAGACAGATAATACATACTCGACTAAGTGATATTTGGTTTAACTAAATGAAAAAGGTCAGGGACATATAATACATACTTGACTAAATCAGAAAATAAATCAAAATAATCACTTTACTAATTCAGCAAAGAATCCAATAAAATATTTGTCCCACGTAATATACAGACTGCACTGGAAAAGCTATCAGATAAGTACCTTGCAAACACATAGCAGAGACACAGAGACTACAAGGGCGTAAACTAGGTTACTCGTCTGTCATGGCTTTTCATATGTGTATATATTTATTATGTGTGAAATATCACTCGAGAAGTGGATAAACCAGAAATGAAAGAAACAATTCAACCTGATAGAAAGAGCAAGCTAAGAAACTCCGACAAATCAAAACTAATGAGATATGAAAAGGACATAAAATACTTGAAGTGATCAAGTCCTGATTTGGACCAATCAAGCCTGTAAACTGAAGGAAGATCAACTAATGTCCATCCAAACGTAATTTGTTGAACTACAATACAACTTAGTGGAATATAATAGTAATGAATGTAAGTATTACACATTAAATACATTTTACTAATTAGACAGCATAAATTACCGATATAACATAAATTATTTATAATCAGTTACTGAAGAAGGAAAATAGCACATTTGATGAAATGAATCCACAGCTGGTCCCGTCCATAGGTAACTATATAAGCATTTCAAATAGACCTGGAAAATGAAAATATATACGGTGTTCTTCACAAAGCTGAACATTTAGCCCAAAAACCATTAGGAGTCAACTCTATCTGCATAAAAAATATACTGATGCACACACACTGATTCCTGTCAAGAGCTGGATCCGAACCATCAATAAACAGAAGCCTATATATAAGGAAATAGAGGGCAGCGAACTCATGATCCGGTCAGAGCAGGCATATGCCAGAGGTGAATGGAAAATATCACCCTAAGGACCGATCTCAGATCATCCTTCGTGCTTAAAACCCAAGCTAAGACCTGACCCGCTATCTAGAACCATACTTCCTAGTAATCTAATATAGTTGGCTACATCGGCGGTGGTTTAGAAGTCGGCAAGCTTTCAAACCAATTACAGTCTTCAATAGGAGTTTCCCGACATCAACAATTAACGAAGAAAAGTAAAACATAATATCAACCACAACGAATCAAAGTAACTACAAGAACTCAATTCATTTATGAGGCAGAAAGTAATCACTATCATAAATCAGGAGAAAAAGTAAGTCAATCCTGGATAGTGAAGTACACAAAACATAAAAACGGCGACGAAAAAGAGAAGTGCATACTCGCTGGTGACGAAGCTGATGAATTCGGACACGCATTCCTGAACGGTGTCCTTGGCATCCTTGGCGATCTTGCCATTGGCAGGCAGGGCCTTCTTCATGATACGGCCAATATTTGCAATTGGGAGGAAGCGATCCTGCTCGCGTACGCTGGACTTGGGGCTCTGATCTCCCCCGCCATCCCCGCCGTTGTCGTGACTGCCGCTTCCACCGGCGACGCCATAGCCACCAGGACTTTCCGACATCCTTCTACCTCAAATAACAAATAAAACCCTAACTCCATAAATTGTTCGAAAATAGGAATGAAAAGCATAAAAGGAGGTCTCGCCACAGAAATGAAAGGTTTAAATGGGGGAGAAAACGACTGCAATTCAACCTTGAAAAAAACTAAAAAAATGCGTTTGATGCCATAGAAATACATACATGATCAGAAAATATGTAGCATACAAAATACAGAAAAAAGCGTGTGTGCGTGTATGTGAGAAAAAAGTGGGTGATGGCACCTTGGATTTGTATTTGGCGCGCTCAGTCAGACAGAGAGGATTGGCTGATGAAGTTTGGAGAAATCTGAGAGGGAGAGAAGAGCGATCGGACGACGGAGATGTGAGGAAGGAGACTTCTTTATTACTATTCCGCTGTATGAATATAATTATTATCGTATCTGCTTTTTCGTATTATATACAGTGTATGAAAAAATAGTTTGAACAAAAATATAAAAGAGTTAAGCATATAAAAAAATTAAATAAATGTAAAAAATAATGCGTAAATTGGTATTCTCTTACAAATTCTCAAAAATTTATTTGCACACAATGTTATTAGTTCTATTACAAATTTTTCATCCTTGTTTCAGCACAAAATTTTCAAGCTCTCTCTGTTTTTAACGCTAGATACGGCAATATAAAGTTGTCCACGGTTGAAATTAAATATTGGAAAATACATACCACATTAGATAATGTTAATTCGAGAAATAATACATGTCCATCCACAACACAAATCTCTATAGTTTGATGCATTTCGGACTAGTTTAGAATGTGCTAAACCATACTCGTGAACAACGGACACGAATTCACCATACTTTTTTACTGTAGTAATTTCACAATAGAGTCCGCGCAATGTTGTCATTATTTTGCATGATATATAATCTTCTCACCAGCTCAAATAAAAAATAATGGTATAAGTGGTTCATTTTATACATATTAAGTTGTTAATAACATAATAGTCATTTTAAAAAAACAAACAGGAAAACATAATGTGTCAACATTCATTTTTTAATATCATTATTAAAAAATGAATAGAAAAATATAAATTATCACAACTAAATGAATTATGGTATCAAGGCCAAATCATCCAAATTTATGCATTCGATTTTTTTTATATTGTGTTAAAATCATGTTATGTATTATGTTGAAGATTTTGAAATGTGAAGAAAGGTACTATCATATAGATAAAATTAATTGATATATTAGATGTATCAAGGTTGAAATAATGGAAAATATTATGCATATATTGGTTTTAAGAATGATACAAATTAAATAAATGTATAAAACTATGATATAAATTTGAGAAAATGCACCGGTTACAGCTATCATCATCCCCATATATTCGTGCCTCTAATTATATAAAAAAGAATAGAGATATATTGGTTTTTTTATGAATAAAAGATGAAATATGGACCTTCATTAATATTATTAGGCATAATATTATAAAGATGGGAAAATATTTGGTTGCCCGATTTAAGAAGAAAATGGACAAAAATAAATGGGCAATTACCAAGTTAGATAAAAAAAATATTTATAAATCATACCAAGCCTAACTCCAAACCATATTTTTTTACACAAACCAAATTAGAAAGCACAAATATTTGCCAAGTCAGCATCCGAAGCGTGCGAGCCTGCCACTTAGGCTCAGCACGTTTTGAATTAATATATAAGGGGAGTTACGTATTGTGCGATGCACAAATACAAATAAATAATTATTTATTATTTAATGTTTATTTATTTATTTATATTGAGACTCGACCGAATAAATTATATATGTTATGGATATTATAATTTTTATTTTCCATTTAATATTTTATATAGTGACTCAAAATACGACCTCATAATTTATTCAGTTAAACCCATCTATTTGATGCTTCAAATTGTTGTATAAACTATCTTATGTTTAAAAAAAAAAACTACCTTATGTTGTTAATTAGAATAATTCAAACCTATTTCAAAAAATATATGAGAAAGAAAAAGTTATATTATTATAATATTTTATGCTATTTCTTACAAAATATAAAGAGTTGACGGTTGATTGGCAACGATTATGGATTTATATTAAAAATGCAGTTAAAACGGGTGTTACGACTAGTTTATGACAATGATATGAAAAGATCAACACTAAATGTCTGAAAAACGGAAATTATGAGGAAAACAAAATGACACTGATTTTCCCAAACTACTGGGAGATCGACAAGCAGAGTGAATTCTATGGAAACTATATTATGATATGGGAGATATACATGTCAAGTTTGGCTTGCCAGATATGACTTTTATGAGTATTTCTGTGTTTAATCGTGTGTTTTGCTATATAGGCTCATGTTTTTATATTTTTTGTTGTTGTTCTTGTTTTCCTTGGCGGGTGGGCGTATTTATATACAAAAAAGGATAAAAATACAATAAATGCATCGTGCCAACTAGGGGCGCAGGGTGGCGTCGAAAATGTATCCATGCAAAACTCGACTTTTGAGGATTGGACAGTTTGGACGGTGGCTTTATCAACTTTAACAATTTTGTATCCATTGTTGGGAATAGGTTAGGAACGTCGAAAATATGCGACAGACTATCTACAAATTAACCCTAAGTGCAGGGAGACTACAAGTTAGGGTTCAAGGCGTACCGTTAAACACATTCGCACACTCTGTATAGACATACAAGGCCTACGAGGCCAGACGAACGGTTATGTGAAGTTATTTACACCTCTTCATCCTCCTCGTCTTTGGTCGTACGTCGCTTGTCGATTGGGATCCCATCGTGATTGCCTCGTCGTGCTTCTAAAATTCCAAGTTGCGTCTCAAATCGCCTAAGGCCTCGTCGGACTGTTCTCGGTTGCACCGCGTCGCATGGAGGCTGTCAGACTATGGTAGGGCCGCTGTCGGGTCGTTGCGGATCTGCACGCTGGTTCCCAAGTGTACCCGAGACTCGCCGGGTCTCCCTGCTGCTCACGAACGAATGCGCTAAGGCCACACTGTTGCACACTGGGGACACGTGATGAGGATAGAGGTTTCGGTGCCCATGGACGAGATGGGTCGAGAGTGAAAATGACCCGAGGAGACCAGGCAAGGGTCCGAATCGCGCACATGTCCTAGGAGACATGCGTGAGCTAGTATGCGAGGCGCACGAGCAAAAAGAAGACAATGCGATCCTATGCAAGCATGACAAGTAGCGTTCCATTTCTTTAGTAGAAAACATAATACGCTTTGCATTCCTTTAAGCTAAATTAATGTTTTTAATCTTGATTATTTATTCCAAAATTTCTTATCCAAAAATAACATTATGTAGATATCCTTATCTATTTAATTTTTTCTAATTTATTAATTTATATTTAAGTCATCAAATTAAAAATCCTAAAGCAAATAAAACCTCTTTAACTAAGGAGTTATTATAGCTAAGGAAGACAATGAAAGAGGAACTAAAAGAAAGGGAAAATCATACCCTTACCCTTCTTGCTAAATAAAAATTGGCCAACAGTCCCCTTTTTGCCTTCAAATTCTAGATGAATTTAAGCCCGAGGAGCTCTCTATTTTCAGCCAAAATCTCCTAGTATAGTAGGAGTTCCATCAACATCAAATCTTCTCTATCTTTCTTCCCAAGTCATTCCTAATTAAGCCTTCAAAAGAGTCCTATTTTTCCTTTAGCAAGAATTCACGATTATCCTCTCCAAACTCTCCAAGCATTCCATGGCTTTTCCCAACAAGAGAAACTCCTCCCAACACCATCATCCCTTCTCGGTCTTCTCTCCGGCGATCCAAGCAGCAACAGACGGCGAGGAATCCGAGCCCCACCCCGAGCGAGCAGCACCATCCATCTGCGGTTGAAGGCGAGAGGATGGACCAGGACACCCGAGCAACTCTCCTGACCGTGCACCAGCACCATCCTCCCGGCAATCCAAACAGCATGCTAGCCGAGCTTCGCTGAGAATAGCCGAGACCATCCAGAGCCAAGCCTTGCCCTTTCTTCCTTTATTTTTCCCAAAGAAAGGTAATTGGCCGAGCCTTTAGCCTACTTATTCTTGACGATTGTTATTTGATATTGAATTCTTCAAAGAATAAAAGATTTAACAAAAGAAAGCAAGAGTTCATGGCTTAAGAATTTAGGTAAAAACTAAGAAAAGAAGAGAAGGGATCCAACTTTATTTCATGCCTTGTCGTTGATCAAAATTCGGGATATAGATGGATTTGATGCCAATGAACATTTTAAGATTTATTATGTAAAGAAGAACTAAAATCAAAGTTAGATGCCTTGGTTTAAGTTGCTTTTGTTTTGGTTATAAAATCTTGGAATTGAGAATTCTAGAGGTTAAGCCCAAGAACTTTAGAACCCTAGATTAGAGCCTTAAAGCCTTTTTTTTACCTGGTCGGAATCTCTAGAGAATTCGCCAGAAAAGCCACAGCTGGCCGCAGACCCGCAGGCTCCGTGCGCAGTCTCGGGGCGCAGCCAACCGAGGTCCGCAACGTCCGACCGTGCTCCCAGTGACGCTCGTAAAGATCCGCAGTAGAGTGCCGAGGCCCGCAACATCCGCTAGTGCCGCTCTCGCGCCGTAGAGACCCGCATGCCACGCCTGATACTCCCAGACGACCTGCCAGTGACCCGCGATGATCCCAAGCGTGTGCTCAAAAGTAGAGTCTGTGTACCTCTGCACCTCAGTGCCCATGCGCCGTGCCCAGTGACCCGGCAGCGCCCGTGCGCCCTGCAAACCCCGTGCGCGCTCGTGGTCAGCGCGCCTGTGCGAGCCCCCAGTAGCCGCAGCGACCTGTCTGAGCCAACAACGACTGAGCCGCCACTTGTCCGAGCCACCAGCGAGCCAGACCAGACCGAGAGTCCTTGAGTGCAAACCGAGCTGAGTCGAGCCACATTATTAACATTTCGAACCTTAATTAGTTTAATCGAGCCTAAATTATTTTTTTTAGCCGAGCATTATTTATTTTGAGGTCGAGCCTTAGCTGAGCTAAAAACCAGATTTTTGGGCCTTAGGATAAATTTATCCGATAACTCTGTCGAGCTTAAGAAGTGAGAAAAAGCAAGAGAATAAGCAAGAAGAGAAGTTCCAAAATTAATTAAGTGATTTAATTAAATCAAGATTTTGTCGCAACAATTCTTGAAGTAAAATATTATATTCAAAAGTTAAATTTCTTAAAAATGTTGATTTCGAGGAGTCGAGCCCTCGAGCAGTTTAGTAGAGCATTTCAGCATATCGTTATCCGCATTTAAAGTGGGTGTTTCTATACTATGTCTTATTTTTTATAAACGCAAGATATTATGATTGACATATGTAATGTGAGTGCCCGACCGGTGAAGGGAAATGCCTGCGAAGGGCAGTCAGTTACATTTCGCATGCAAAGGGTGATGCCTGTGAAGGGTAATCATATATATTACTTTTGTGAAGGGCGATGCATGTGAAGGGCAACTAGATGAGACCAGTTTATACATGTTTCATGCTTAAGTTATGGTACCTAATTTTTTATTGAATAATCGCATAGTATGGTTACCCAAGATTAGCTAGTGTTTTGCTCACCACCCCACTTTCCCTCCTTTCAGGTTGAGCAATTGGCGGCGGACACGGACGGGCGAGGGTGGTCAATAACTTCTATTTATCTCTTTATGCTTCCGAAGATATTATCAGACTTGATGTTTTATTTCATAACCGTAGATTGAGACTATGAATATGTTGGTTTGAGACTTTTTATAAATTGCAAGTTTATAGTGTCTCGATTATTCGAAAGCAAGGAAGTAGTTTGGAAAGTGATTTCCCTAAGAGCTTAAGTTAAGAAAAGAAAAGTATTTTCCGGTAAGTTTTAACAAAGAAAAAGTTTTTCAGTAGTGCCTGAGAAGAATTTTAAAGTTGAAAAGTTCAAATTATTTCTTAAAACTTAGCGTTTTCCAAAAAAAAGTAAATGGGTGCTACAACTCGCATATGGCAGCGCGACAGCGCTGGTGCATGCACAAGGCCGCGCGAGCTCGCGAGAGGCAGCGTGCGGGTCGCTAGGACAGACCGCACGCAACTCGACGAACACGCACGCCAAACAACACGGGCAACATTGGAGGCACCAGCGAGACATGCGACGACGCCCGTGAAAGACCAGGCACGAATGCGGAGCAGCAGCACGTGCGCGAAAGTATCGCACGAGGGGTAAGAGCACGATGCCCACGAGAGTGGCGTACAGACGTGCAAGCACACGCATGCGGGGGTAAGGCCGAGGATCCTGTGCACGGGCGCACGCAAATGCACGCGCGCGACCAGTGGCACGCGCGAGTTTCTCGTGTCAGGCTCGGCATCCCTGCTGGACAACAACCCTTGGGGCACTTCTAGAGGAATTGAGCTGGTTGTAGAAATTCTTAGGGCCGATTTTATTTACTTAGCATAATTATGAGTTAATTTATTATTCTCTAGATTGTTTAGGAGTTTATTTATGTTGGAATTTCTTAGATAAGGTAGCTTAGTTATTTGATTTTCTTAAGCTTAGAATTCTAGTTCTCTTTGGATTAGACTTAGTTTATCTTTTTAAATACTTGTCATTGCCATTCAATTTTGATTATGTCTTGAATTAATAAGAAAATCGTCCCATTTGGACATAAGTCTCGTATGTTAGATTTCATGAGAGTTTTACTTACAAAATCGTGTTAGGCAAAGACCAATATCTGAGCTTTTCATAATCTATCGCGAAGTACGAAGGAGTCGGCGCGTGTATTAGCAACTTATCGCGGAGAACCAAGGCGGTTGGCGCGATTTCGAAGCAGTCGAGATGCACAATCCTCATCAACACGCTGGGACGACTGCACGCGAGATGCGCGTTGCTGTGGGCCCCTGGGACACACGATGCGCACTGGGAAGCGCCTGCGTGAGGCTACGCGCACTGCTACGTAGGCCCTTGCACCTGGACGCGCTGGGCTGCGGCTGGGCCACGGCTGGACGCGCGGTGGTGCTGCCGTGGTCGTCGGTTGCTGCCGAAGGTGCGAGGCTCGTTGCCAGTGGTCGGGGTTGACCACCAACGACTCCTATATATTTACAGGATTAAATATATATTTATTTTTACCTCGGTTGACCTCGGATCTTTGTATGACCTGCCATCTTCTCCGTTCGTCTTGGTGGGCGATGATCTCGGAGATATCTCGATAGAGATTTCTTGGAGAGTGGCGACTATAGCTTAGGCGAGAGTCGCATCTTCAATACCGAGTGCACAAGTTGATATACCACATAATACTGCAACACATGTTACCTAGGATGCACCCGTGTGTTGGTCGTTCTATGAGGAACGTCGAATTTATGCAAGTCACGACCTGTCTACAAAAATAAACCTAAGCAACGGAACTAAGCAAGGGTTGAACACTTACTGTTTAAAACTTTTGCAGACTTAGTTGAATACACGACCTATGGGACCAGATGAATGATTCTAAAATGATCTTTTTGTTGGGTTCAGTGAAGAATGTTGGTTGATCATGCTTTGAATCAATTAGGAATCTAAGAAAGGAATTCTATGCGCAGCGGAATAAAGAATCGGATTCGAATCTTGCCGTTTAAAATTCTTAGGGTATACTGTAAAAGCTCGACTTCCAGTTTCTGACAATACACTTTTGAATGAGATTCGTGTTTTAGTTAAGTGTGTATTTGCAGTTTATCTATTTATGCACACATACTTCTTTTATTTTACATTACAAATAATATAGTTCAATGTGTAAAACAGAAAGATCATATTATTGGTGCCTTGTAAAATATAAATGTTTGTCCATACCTGCAAAATAAATGAATCATAAGTCCATAACTAAATAGTCATAACAATAAGGAAATAGTCTAAAGGACAATTTCCATTGGTTATCTCAAAGATATCCCTCTTGCCATAAATTTGACTTCACGATACACTTTGGAATTTTTGATTTAATGTCAATCTAATCACATTATTACACAATACTTTTGGTTATATAGCCATATAATCAAGTAGCAACTGGAAAAACGAAATATTGTCCTTTTCGGATTCCCATATCATTCATTCGTTTTCTGATCGATCAAACTAATTCCTTTCTAGTCTATAAACCATTTCTAGTATTTTAGTATCCCGAAATGATTTCTGGTTGTAAAGGTAATCGCGTAATTGCACAGGACAAAATAACTATTATTTCATACTTCCACAAAGCGAAAATATTTCATTTTCTACATGATAAGAAGACACTTACTCGTAAAAATTATATTATATATACTTTTCAATTGATCCCCAACCACACACACCTTTGTTATTTAGTAAACGGTTCGATTTGAGGCATGGAACCGCTGGAGTACAAAATCAATCAAAAACCACTAAAATGACAGCGGCTCGCCGGGCTGAGCGGCCCAATAGTGAGCTTTGCATAGTGCAGTAGTGCAATGGTTTAAATATCTTAATTGTTTTGTTTCTTCTTCCGATGTGAGATGCTAAGAGTTCACAAGCAAGGAATTGATTTGGGCCGCCAGTGGGCCTTAGTTTTGTAACCTTTGTTAAATGAATTCTTCTTTGGGCCAATTGTTAATTTGTTATACATTTCACAATTTCTTGGGCCAATTATTTTGCAACATATTCTAATAATATGTGGGATGCTTACTCAATATACACAATTACTTATTTAATTTTTTCTTTATTTATTTAGAAAAATATCATTATACACTAAAAAAATTAATGATAAAAAATATATAAAATTATATATTATACATACAAAATAAATAAAAATTATATATTAATTAAACCGGTTCGATCGGTTCGACCACTGATCCGCCGGTTCGCGGTTCGATTTTCAAAACATTGATATAAATAGATACAAATATATTGAACAAAGAGGGTGGAAATATAGGAAAATGATTTGTTTACTTTTTATGCATTAAAAAGGCCATCCACTAAAGACGTCTTAATCCTGTGGTTTTCAATCATCACTTGGCACCGTACAGACTCTCGAGTTGGTTTTCGCGTTTCTCTCTCCACATCGCTACCTTTTTTCTTGATAAAATCTCTGTAAGTTTCTGGTTTTCTGCCTTTCTCCTTTCGTTTTCTTTGCAATATAATCTCTAAACCCTATCCGTACGCAACATTTTCCTTTGCATTAGGTTTGTACATAATGTGTGCGTTTGTACGTGTCATTGTTCTTGTTTGGTGGAAAAGGTATTCAAACGATATGCATCAATGTGGATGTTTTTGGACGCGCATTCTCTGGTATTTCTGTATCCGTGTTAGAATGGTTAATGTTCCTGTGTTTCTGATCTGAAAGTTCCGAGAGATTAAACATGTACATAGTATTATGCTTTGGCTTCTTGCAAATGACATTGTACTTTACGTTAGGGTTTGCTTTTGTTATTTTTACGGGTTTTCAGGGCGCAGGCAGGGGAACTGTATTTTGCATGCTTTATGTGGGCGTGGGTTTAATTAGGGCGCATTTTTTATTTTTATTTTTGCGTTTTCATTCCTTTTAGCTAATTTAATTAATGTTGTTCGTTGAATATATAATTGAATAGCTGATTTTAACTTTTAGTTTGTTTATTATGTTGTTTCTCCATTGTTACAGCATTTTTATTGGGGCAAAAAGGTAATGATGAGTAATGAAGAAGAGAAGAGATGTCCGCTCTGTGCGGAGGAGATGGATTGGACGGACCAACAGTTCAGGCCTTGCAAATGTGGCTATCAGGTACTGTTATATTGTATGAAATTACTAATTTTTTTGGTCGCCAGCCGAAGTCGATGTGCAGCCTTAGCATTACATTGGCTTATTGTATTGTCTCTAGGGGCAGAAATGCTGTCATTTTTGTGGATAAATTTTAATCCGGAACTTGGACAACTCATCTTCTTTAACCTTGTCAGTTTGGCATTTTACGATATGCTAGAAAAAAGCAAATATCTAATGATGACGAGTCTGTTGAACCACACACAAACATGTAAAGTTATATAAATTTGTATTTATATATTTCCCTTTTTTCATTCTTCTTTTTCCTTATTTGTACTCATAATCATGCTCATACGTGTAGAGCTGATATTCAAGGTATTTACTGTTTCACATGATTTTCTGTGACCCTCTGGCAATATTTCCGATGTTGGAATGGGGCAGTAATAGAGTTCGTTTATGTAATTGTCGTTTTGCCATCCTCTGTTTCTTTACTTATTTTTATGTATTTACATTATATTAATTTTATTACTAGAATGTTTTTACACGTAATCTGTAACTATGTTTGCATTTGCAAATTTATTCCCTACAGCAAGGTGACTACTTTTCTCTGCAGCATTTCACTTGTAGTTTCACCCTGTTTTTCTTTGATCTGTTTGCTTCAGTTGTCACTTCACTGAGGCTGATTATTTTTTTCCTAATGTGATGTTTTAGTATAAGACATTGGATAGTCCTATTTCATGTGTACAGGATTTGTTATTTCCTAGTTTGCACTTTCTACTTCATATGCCTCATTAAGTGTGATGAACTTTATTTAAATGTTAAGAAACTTGTTGCTAAGCCTGAGCCTGAACGTGCTTTTGTTTATGTTACAGATCTGTGTTTGGTGTTGGCATCACATAATAGACATGGCAGAGAAAGATGAGATGGAGGGGCGATGCCCTGCATGTCGGACAATATATGAAAAGGAAAAAATTATTTCAATGCAAGCAAATTGCGAAAGGTTGTAATGTTTCTTCATCCTTTTCCCCGTTTCTGTATAATATTAAATGATCTGATTTTAATGGTTGGGCGCTAATTTTTAATTATATAGGATAACGACGAAAATTTCTAGTAGGAAATCTAAACTACCAAAGGCCAAGCCAAAGGTTAATGAAGTAAAGAAGGATTTGACAAATGTAAGAGTGATTCAGCGAAAGATGGCGTATGTGATCGGACTACCTCTTAGTCTAGCGGATGAAGCTGTAAGGAGTTCTTTTAGATGTTTAGTGGTTTTCGTGTATCTTATTTCTTTTCTAAATGTGTTGGTTTTACATTATGATATTTTGTTTCCAATTTGTTCGCTTTAGTTTCTTCTGTCGTAAAGGTGTACATTAGATTATGATATTTGGTATTCAATTTGTTTTCCGGAAAGGTATTGCGTCGGAAAGAGTATTTCGGTCAGTATGGGAAAGTGACTAAGGTTGCTCTCTCACGAACCGCTGGTGGGGCAATTCAACAATTTGTCAATGACTCATGCAGCGTGTGAGTTTTAAATTGACTTCTGTGTTCTTATGTTTGATCTTTGGTAATTAGTTTCTTTTAATAGGTTAAATTGTACATATAAGCTTACCTATGTTTGGTTATAATGCCCACTTTTATGACCTGGTTCAGTTCAACAAAATTATTTTTATACTTGGTAGGTGATCTCTGTTGTACTTGTTATGTTCATGCATTATCCTTGTGTTATAGGAATGTGAATTCTGGCATTCTCCTCATTTGAGTTGAAATTCAACTCATGACATATCTAAAGATCACTTCAAAGAACAAATATACACTCTCATTTTGTGTTATTTCTCAAATTTTGAGCTTTAAGCAAGATCTGGGGATCTTTTTTTACTTGGTTGTGCAAAAGTTTGTCGCTGAAGAATCTAGCCTCCGATATACAGGTTCATTGAGCTTCACTAATTTGATTCTCTCGCCCATTTTCACAAACCAACATCTGAGATTGTTCATCTAGTTAATCATCTATGGAAATTAGTCAAAGTGATTCATAAAGTATGGAAATGCTACTACTTTGATGTTACTTAAGCCCTGCAGTGTAACATTTTGGCATGAAATTGTGGGATTTTTAGATCTAGGAATTAATATAAGTACATATGAATCCATTAACCTGCACACATTCTTGACGTTGTGTCATTGCAACATTCTTCACTAGGCAGTATTTCATGTCTGTACACCCATTTTTCTCTTACATTTCATTTAGTACTTGTTTCCTCTCATAGTGCTTGTTTTATTTATATATTTCTCTGTGATCCTCATTTTGTCATGTTCTAGGTACATTACATACTCAAAAGAAGAGGAGGCCTTACGATGTATTCAATCAGTTCATGGTTTTGTTCTGGAAGGTAGATTTTTGAGGTAAGCACATCTTCCCCTGTTTCATGTGTTCGTCATAAACATACACTCCAGATTTTTATGAAATTAGTAATTGTTGAATTACCTTTGCAGGGCATCATTCGGAACTGCTAAGTATTGCCATGCTTGGCTGAAAAACACGGTATTGATACAATACTCTGTGTGATACTTGTTTGTGTATAGGTTGGATCCTGAAAGAAATTTCTTGTTGTACTGTATGAATTGAATGAAAATCTTTTCAGAGCTGTTTCTTATTTCATTTCAGCTTTGCAACAATCCTGCTTGTTTATACTTGCATGCTATTGGGTCTGATGAAGATAGTTTTGGGAAAGACGAGGTAGCTGCAGTTCAAACGAGGTATCTTATGATCTTTTGGATTTCATGTGCTTTTTTTTTCCTGTATTTGATCAGTTCCTTCTAAAAGGAAAATGGAGAGTTTTGTCTATATCCCGATAAATAATTGGTGTTATGATGACAAGATAGCTGCTTTAGGAAAACTTGTGGTGAATTTCTATGTTTACATGCTTTCTAGTTCTTGACATTATTGACTTGAACATCAAATCACCAGATTCATTTGTAGATAAGTTTGTTTCATTGTTTTTCATCCTTCTTCACTTCAACATGTGTTTCAGATGGGAATTATACTTTATCAATGTTCTCTTGAACATCAAATCACCAGATTCATTTGTAGATAAGTTTGTTTCATTATTTTTCATCCTTCGTCACTTCAACATGTGTTTCAGATGGGAATTATACTTTATCAATGTTGTCTTGAACAACAAATCACTAGATTCGAGGTTTTTTCTAGAACCGGAAAGATAATATTATTTCATTATTTTTCATCCTTTTCACTTCAACATGTGTTTCAGATGGGAATTATACTTTATCGATGGATTAGAAGATATGGGATGTTGTATTATCTTTGTCTCTAGTGGATTATGTTAATATGTATTTGGCTCTATGGTAATATTTGATGAATGATAGTATACTGGTTGAATAACTTGTTAAGATTTTACGATCCATTGACCCTTCTTGTTGTGGTTGTGTGGTTCTAGGAGTCGAGTTCAACAAATTGTTGGTGCTACAAACGGTATTGGAAAGCGTTCTGGCAATGTGTTGCCTCCTGCTGATGTAGCCTACAATAGTAGCAGCACTTTTACGGACAAAAGTACCATAAGAAGTGGCGTATCAGTAAGCAACCTTTTCCTTTTTTTTTTTTCCTACAAATTATCACCTGATTCTAAGATTGATGAACTTTGTCTGTATTGATTGATACCATTTTTTCTTTGGGTAACTCGGCAAAATTCATATACGCAGCATCATTTTTTCCCTTTTCCCCTTATTGTGGTGTTTCTTTTTTGCGGAAATATCATCATTGTATCTGTTCCAATCTCCAGGATGCAACTCATGATTCTCCAAACTGCACGGGCGATGTAACTTTTGCACTAACCTCTGAAGAGAAGGAAGGAGCAAAAGCAGCTCCTCACAATACGAAGACTTTTCTAGATGTTGTTGGACAGTCTAATTGTGCTTCTCTTCAGAAGGACAGTAATATGCCCGATGATAGGAGGATTGTGAACCTATGTTCTGAATTATCTTCAGCGACGATTAATGGAGATACTCGAGCAGGAGAGTCATATTCGTTTCCTACAATGTTTACAATGCCGTGTTCTAATCAAATTGGAAGTGGGGTGTTTGGTAATCTTCCAGATGACTCCGTATTCTTATCTGATGATCAGGGATCCAATGACAGCCATAAGGCTTTTTTTGGTCACCTATCCTATCCTGCAATTATTTCAGAGGATTCAAGTGGTCCGGCGTTCCTTCATGAAAAGATTCACAGTGTGAATGGTTTTACTGTGGACCACAATCCTGTACATAATCATGAGACCGAGGCTGCTTTACCTATCAGATGCGTAAATTCTGTATTGATGGATTCATGCCAGGAGATGAAGTTTCAGAATTCTGCTAAATCTGATAGAATTTACAGAAATTCCAATTCATTTTCCAATGAAGAAATAGTTGAGCACTTGCGAAGAATAGATGATGGTGACCTGAATAATGACAAGGAAAGTTCTATTTTAGATGCAGTGGGAAGCAGTATAATTTCAAATATCATGTCTATAGGGTTGGATTCATGTGAAGATTCTTTGACAATATCTAAAGGTCTATCCGAGTTTCTTGATGAAACTGATGGGTTAGGTGGTTCATCCTGGAGTTCTCTAAATAGTGATCAATCAGGGTACTCATTTATTAAGCACGAGGGCTTCGCAAATCAAATGGTTGGGTCTGTTCTTCCAGAGTGTGGGGATAACAAAGAGCAATACTTTTATAAGCCTCAGTTTCCAGGTAAAATTGTATTCTATTTTGGGTTTTGACCTTTTCTTTTGTAATTACAAAATAGCCAGAACCCTCTTAGGTTTTTAAATTGCAATACCTACTTGTATTTTTTGTCTCACAAATTGTAACGTCAATAGGGGCTAGTTGGTAAGATATCAAATCCGACAGAGGTGTTTATGATATTACTATCATGACTGTGTATTTGTAATTTTGTAAGTAACTGGTATTTGTAGGTCAACCTTTAAGGTGTATTTCTGTGAACAATTTTTTATTTTACTTATGTATATGCGTATACGATATAAACTATTTTGAGATGTGCATTATCAAGGAGAAAATCATGAATGTTATCTTCAAACTTTTCTGAATTGCAATAATATTTGGAAGGAAACAAGAATTTTGCAAATACATATTTAACCTCCAAGGAAGGTTTAGTTAAACAAATGGTAATTTTTCCATGAGTTGGTCTAAATTTTCATGTTCATTTTTCTGTCTTGATAATAATGATTTAATTATCCTCTTTGTCATCCTCAAATTTTCTAGCTTTTTGACAGCTTGTACTTGAAACTCTTGAGAAACCTTAAATGTTACTTCTGCTACGTTATATATATCACATTTTCTGATCTAAATGCACACAATAGGTGTCATGCATCTTCGAGCTATTATCCTGAACACTTATTACCACATATAGCTGGACTTGCTTTTGAGCTTTTAGTTAGTTTATATAATACATTTCTGATTTGCTCATGCTAATTCTCAATCATTTTGAAAATTCTTACGAAGTGTACTCATTCTCTCTTCCTGCAGTATGTAGGTCTCAAAGTTTGGCCCCACCTGGGTTCTCGGTGGCCTCCAGGGATCCACCTCCCGGGTTTTCAACAAGTGGTAGAATGGCCTCATCTGGTTCGTACCTCTACCTATTCCTTCACAGTTATATTCTATTTTTGCAGTGTTTGCCTACTCTTGGGAAAAAATGAAGTGATTCTCAAGACCTTTTCTTTTGCATTTTTTACGGATCAAAAAAAAGATTGATTCTCAACTTCTATGGAATATGAAAATATTTTCCTCCCACAAGCCAAGATTTTTTTTTTTCTTCCTTCATTTCCTCCTAATAAAGTTCTCAAACATTCCCTTGTCCATCACTTTTGACTCGAGTAAACATTTTCTTCTGCTCTTTTGTAGGTACTGGTTTGGTCAACAGCTCCACTTTTCCCAACACTTTTATCCAAACATCTTCAACGCGGACCAACAGCAGCATGGACGGAATTGAACTTTTCGAACATTCCTTATCAAACTGCAGCCAGAGCAAACTTTCAAATGGGTTCAAAAACCCGAGCTTTGAGACCAGGCCCGCCAGTAATCACAACCCATGCCCAGGACCCACACATCAAAACTCGAATTTTTCCCAAATGTTCATGTCCCAAAATCAGCAAGAACTGAGCTATAACTATAAGGGCCACCAGTCAAATGGGCAATCTGGCTTGGATGCTGGCATGTATGGATTATCTCACCAAGGCAATGATCATTCCTTCTTTAGTCAGTCGAACTTTGCAAATGGTCACAATAATATTTCCAATATGAACAACGGGTACAGGCTTAATCGCTTGGATGGTGTCCAGCATAATAATAATGGTGAGGTGGCGGGCATGACAGAACTTCAGAGAAACGAGAGATTAGGTGTCGGTTACTTTCAAGGGTATGGGGGTTTGAGGTTTAATTCGGGCGATGTATATACTGGGGTGTTTGGGTTGTAGTTTATATGTTTTACTCACTGACTTTGTTTAGGAGAATGGGACTCTTTTCCTTCATCAAACTCATGGGGAATACGTTTAGTTTGAGTGAATGTTTGAAATTTGTCGATCAATGCTTGGTCTGGTTTATGTTGTCATTCTAAGGTTGATGATGGTAATGGTAACTGGTAGGCATGTGTGGTAATGATGCCTAAGTTGCAGTTTAGGGTTATTACGAAAATATCCGCAAGGTTTGGCATATTTGCAAATCAGTTCAACTGTCTTATAAATTTACAAAACTTCTTTTCTAGTATTAGGAAGAAACTAGTACAACACCCATGTATTACATGGGTGGCGACGGTGCCTCGTTTATGGACGGATTCATAAAAGTGGGATGGGTATCCGGACAAGTCAAATTCAAGACCGTCCCGGCTGGCGCTCACTCTTACCATAAATAATCAACATATTATAGATAATCCGAACCTAAATATATTTGGATTAGAAGTAAACTAAATCTACCCAAGCCTAATAACGAAGCATATATTTTTGCCACATAGGATCTTGAAGCATGCGAGCCTGCCACATAGGCTCAGCACGTTCTCAATTAATATATAGGGAGGGATATCATCCTAAAGAGGCGTACAAGGAATGGTTCAAAGGTTTATACAACTTTTAAGGGCCGTGTGACGCTTCGAAGTGGTCATCGTGATCCTCAGAGCAAATTAACATGTCAAGAATTTTTTTACTCTATTGTGATCTGTATCTCAAGTGTTTCACGAAGGTGTCACTTATGATAATACTCTTCCAAAGTATTATTCTTATTTAGCTAGTTTAAGGTTATATGGCAATTGTAATTGTGTGCAATTACTAGGAACACGTAACTCGGTTCACAAATCGAAGTTGTATCCGACAAGAACCGACCCAAGTTGATGGACACATCTGGTTGGGCCAAGAGATGGTAGGAAATAGATTTTTTTTTTTTTTAGAAGAAATCTCATCTTACAAGAAGTTTGCACAACACGACGACCTAAAAGGCCAGATTTCAGTACTGACTGGAAAGAGAGAGCCATACAACGGTGGTGGTGCAGAAGTACTGGAGCCAACCAAGGCCTGGAAGATCACAACAGTCAGTAGAAAATATTGAACCCTGTGCTATATAGTATATACCAAGCGGCTCAAACGATACAAATAACATCACAAACTAAAACACCTAGCCATTGACTGAGACAAACCAAGCTAAATGTTAAAACTGAAAAAAAAAAAGTCATAAAACAAGTCAAAAAACACAATATTACAACCAATGCATTCATTCCATTCCCTCGCAGTAGCATCCACGATAGCCTTCTCCATAGACCACAGACACTTCCAAAGCCACCATAAAATGTAAGTTGAGAGCTGAATTTGAGCTTGAAGTCGGGTCTTTTCTGAGAGAACAAATGTTTTGCCACCATCCCCATAAGTTATCGGTCGTGACTCTCCATACTCTCTCAGCTCTAGGACAGAAAAAAAAAAATATGCTCCATTGATCCTTCACTCTGCTCGCAGATTCTACATATGGGGTCCACATTCACTCATTTCTGCACTTAGTTGTTGGAAGATGGCAGGATGCCTATATAACATTTCCACAAAAAATGTATTAATTATCCCTTCACCTAAAGTTGTCAGCTTCTGTTTCTCAGCTTCCTCATTCTATCAGCATAGAAACTCCCTTCAACTAAGTCCAAAACAAGCACTTTCTTCTGAATTAGATGGGCATGGAAAGAGGCTATAGAAAATTTTCCTTAAACATCAAACATCCAAATCAATTTATCCTTTGACCATGGGTTGAGAGTTTGGATTTGAAAAATTGCTTCATCTTTTAGGGAAATTTGCTCTTACAAGATCCTCCCTCCAAAATAAGCTATCCTCAGTAATGAGATCACTAACCCATTTCAAGTGAGGAGAGTTGTTGTTCCTTATATGTGTCCTCCAATTTGCTAAAGAAGGGATAGCCCATAAATTTTGGTAGTTTGTCCATCTTTCACTTCCATTCTGAATCCCTAAATAAAATACTTCTTGACCTTCAACTAACTTCTTCAGAGCCATGCATTGTTTTGTATTGGTGAAGCATCTAGCAGATCGCCTTTAGGAAAATATCTCCCTTTCATAACTCTACTCACCAGCAAATTTGGCTTTATTTCAACTGTCCATAGCTGTTTCAAAATCAGTGTTTCATTAAACAACTTCATATTCTCGAACCTCAGCCCTACATTTGCCAAGCTTTCCAATGAATGCCTTTGGAGTGGTTGCTGCCAGAACTCCACCACAACTGTGAGAAAACTTGAGCAATTTCGTTGTAAATTTCATCAGGGAACGTGAAACAAGATATGAAGTGCACTCAAAACAAATTTAATAACTACTTCCTTCCTAGCTCAGGATAAAAATTTGTTTTTCCAACTCTTTATTCTATTTTTGACAGTTTCCAAAATAAAATAAACTGTTTTTTTTTTATTACTTTTCAATTCACAAAGGTAAACCTAGTTGAGTGCTAAATTTGAATCCCATTCAAAAAATGTCTGAGTTTCTACAGAGGTGTTTTTATTAAAGCAGATTGAAGATTCTGACAGGTTTGACAAGAGAAAATAATCAAATATTAATACTTACTTAGGATTCCAGAAGTAAATGAGCATATTCCTTATTTTTAAAAACCAGATACAGACATGGGAACGAGGTAAACTATATTTTTAAAAAGTCATGGATTGTCTTTTACAAAAAATAAGTACAACTATATAGGCCTAATAACCCATTGTCCACCAAACTCACCAAAGGAGTACATCCTTTAATTAATAGAATTTGAGAAAACTACACTATGTACCTTCAAATCTCATTTTATTTTTTTATGGAATTTTATTTTAATTACAAACATACTAACTTTTATAGTTTATGTATGGTTGATTTTTAGTTTATTTTTTTCATTGATTTTTAAATTGGATTAATTTTTGGTTTATGTCTAATTTATAAATGTTTTATGTATGGTCTTTTTTGAAATTGTGTATTAAAAAAAATTTCAAAAAGTGTAAAAAACCTGTAAAATAACCATAAAATTTCAGAGCATGTAAAAAAGTTAGATGGACCAATAAACAACAGTACAAGATCGAGTAAAAGTGTAAAACTTGAAGAGCACGTTTGGTTGGGAGGATGGGTTTGGACAATTTTTATCTCATTGTCAAGGATTGCACTGTTCAGATTACTAGTGTCCATTGTTTGTTACACAAGATTGGAGTATTGAATAAGTTTATATTAAAGCACAACCTATATTTGTTTGGCATGATAACATTTTAGATTATCTTGATTATTGACTAAATTACTCCTCATAGATCTGAAAATTTGAATAATGGACGGTAACTTTTTGCTTTTCCAAGATATATTGGTAATTTAACCTATTTAGTCATGTACAGATAATTTCAATCCTAGGGGGTGAGAAGAGATTATTTTATCCCACATATTCAGGATAAAGCCATTTTTATCGCGAGCTTCAAATAAAGTATCGAGCCTGTAACCTATGAATCAAACGAATGATAAACGCAGGATTGAAGGGCCTATCCTACCTTATCCTCCCAACCAAACGTGCTCTAAGTACCCAAGTTATCTTGACCCAATGAGAATAAATTAATCAACCCCATGCGAACGAACCAAACTAGCCATATTTTACAAATTTTCCGAACCCAAAAATATGGCCACTTTGAACACAAGTTATCATCATCATCATCCTCGTACTCCTACCATTCATCACACCTGCAACAACAATGGTTTGTCTCATTTCAATTTCAATCTGAAATCAAGTTTTATGCTCTTCAGAAAACCATCGAGCTTTAAGCTTTGGAATTGTTCTGCAACCACTCCAATTGTACAAGCAGCATCAGCAGCTCGGTACTTTCCTTAACTAACTTTTATGGAAAAAACAAGAAGAATTCTAATTTCTCACACTTTCTAATTTATTATAATTGGCGTGTCTTGATTGCAGAAGTGTGAAAGAGGTCTTTCCACCTGCACTTGATTCCTTTTCAGACCCACCTGCAATTTTCGATGGAATTCCCAAGTACCATATATTATTCATATTATTTTTTGAAGTAATGATATGTAACATGGAATTTTGTTCTGCAGGAAGATGTTAGTTTTGAAGCTAGGGAAAATATAAATAAAAAGGAATGAAGCCTAGATTTGGTCTAAAGAAATAGAATCCTGAGCCTTTTTAGGTTTCTTTTTGTGTTCCATTGAAAGGGGTAGCTCAAATGTGCTCAACCTGTATTCGATGAAACATGATCTTGTTCGGTTCCAGTGCTCCAGATTAATCCTTTTTTTTCTTTTTTTCTTTTTAAAAAACTAATTGCATAAATTACTCGTTTCTGATTCTGCTTCTTCATTTTAGGCTGTATATATCTTACTCATGCCCGTATGCACAGCGGGTGTGGATTACCCGGAACTGCAAGGTTGTTTTTCTTGGATACTTTTCTCTTTGCTTAACCAAGAATTTTCCTTAAACTTCTTATTGAATGTTGCTTGATGCATGCATTGAGAGAGGTTTTGTTTTCTGCAAAGGGACTGCAAGACACTATAAAATTGGTGCCCATAGATCTCAAGAACAGGCCTACTTGGTATAAGGAAAAAGTGTATCCTGAAAACAAGGTACCAATTATGCGAAAAACATTTTTGCTAGTAACTTTAATTTAATCTATTTTAACAAGTGACTGCTCAAGAAACTGTTGCCTTCAAATTTCACGATGGACTAAAAGCATATTAACTCATGTTTTTGGGTTGTTCTCATTGCATCATTTTTGTTTACTCTTCTCTAGGTTCCAGCACTTGAGCATAATAATGAAGTCAAAGGGGAAAGCCTTGACTTGATTAAATATATCGATAGTAACTTTGAAGGGCCTCCGCTTTATCCCAGTGTAAGATTTTTGTTACGTTTCACTGCATTCTTGTATTATAACTACTTTAGCCTAATGTTTAAAGAAAAAAAAGAAAAAATCCAGTTGTCTTCTCAAAATTACAGATAACACACTCAGGCATTGCAAGTACCCGTCAAGGGTGTAATTAGTACAATGGCACAAATATGAAGAGGCTATTTGTAATTGGGAACATAAGCGCTATTATTTCTTTCTTTTTCTCTTCTCCTTTTTTTTTTTTTTCATTTTTTTGTTTTCAATTAGTGTTTTCATTTTATGACTGTGTTTCGGGAGCTGAAAAGGTGTTGAACTATTACAGGATCCAGACAGGATAGCATTTGCAGAGGAGTTATTCTCGTTTACGGGCTCCTTCTACAAACGTGTAATTACTTCTTTGAAGGATAACAAAATAGATGGAGCTGGTAAGTTTTTATTCTCTAATTGGTGGACAAGTTCAAGTCTTTAATGGTGGTGGAAAATGTTAATGAAGTGGTTGTTCACATAGGTGCTGCTTTTGATGAAATTGAGGTTGCTCTTTCCAAATTCGATGATGGGCCTTTCTTTCTTGGCAAGTTCAGTCTGGTTAGTTATTGTACTATCATTCCCTTATTTAGCACAAAAGTCATTGTATTAGAAATAAGGTATTATTATTATTATTTTTTTTTTTCGAGAACTCTAATGAAAACTCAGGGCTATGGATTCTCAAAGTCTATTGGGCAGTCTATGCTACAAAAACTAATGGTGTCTATTTTACTTAAAGGTGGACATAGCTTATGTGCCTTTCATCGAGAGATTTCAAGCATTCTTCTCAGAAGTGAAAAATTATGACATCACGGGAGGCAGGCCGAAATTCGCAGCATGGGTTGAGGTACAGTAGAAACTCTGTTTCTCTCTCTCTCTGTGTGTGTGTAATCACCTTTAAGTGTTAGATCACAATCATTTTTTACTTGAAAACTACAAATTTGGTGTAAAAATCTACAATCATAAATTTGAAGATCATATTGTATTGATTTCTATATTGCACGATCACCGAATTATACTGATTTTGTTGTGTTCCATTTATAACATCACTTACTGTTATATGCACATCCAAGACATGACATCGACATTATCAATTTACATGAGTGAACTTTCGGGATAATTAATTTGGTATTACAATTTCATCGGTTTAATGGGATGAAAATCAGGGTGACATAATGTAATTAACGTGATGTAATTAGTTTAAGCTTAATTAGTGGCCTTATTAGTTTGTAATTAAGCTGCATGCATACAAGACAAGAGTTCACCCCCAGACAGATTTGAGCCTATGATTTTTCAGAGATTCACATGAACAGCTGGCTTTACCTAATACACGTGACATTTAAATAGGAGATGAACAAGAATGAAGCATACAAACAGACTAAACGAGACCCAAAGGAGCACGTAGAGAGCTACACAAGGCGTTTCTTGGTAATTGTCTTTTATATGTTTTTATTTGTTAGTGCATAAATCGCATAGATTGCTAAAATATCTCTTTTCGCCCTCTTTGTGCAGTCTCCCCGGTGAATTGAGTTTTTGCTGCAACTCACCTGATGGCTGAATTGTGGCAAGTGAAAACTGCCTTTGATGGGGAAAGTTACAGTACAACAGATTTGGAGGGTTGGCAATACTGCAGAATTGTTTTTCTCCTTTCCTGAGTGAGGAAGTGTTTTTTCAGAAGACTTTAATTATTCATTAAAATTTGGTCCTTCAGATAATTTTTGCTAAGACTCGAATTTTGTAGAAAAAGTCCTGGTCGAGAGGACAACCAAACTACAGATCATGTTACTCAACATTACACAAACATGCCAAGATCCATTCTTGCGGAGGATAGATAACAGCGAAAAATGCCATGTATACTTACCTCACTGTTAGTTTAGCAAACAGTTTCCACCAATGATAAGCAATAGCAAAAATGATTATCTACGCAATGAGATGATGCCAAGAACATAAACATATGTCATTTTCAATTACTGTCAAATACACAAAACCAGTATCCGACAAGACAGATTAAAAACAGCAAACACAATTTGCTTCCAGAAATCAGAATATCTGCACCAAATATGAGATTTTGGACTCGCAAAAAGAAACTACGGTAGCATAGCGTTACCAATCTATACATCATAAATCTTGTTCAATCTATTATTCTTATCTGTAGTTGTATGTACGACTGACAAGAAATTCTTATGATCCCCAATTGGCACAGCTTTGTTTTCAAGAAAACTGTTTGACAGGTTTAAAAAAAAAAAAGAGCCTTTTTCCAGCTGTAGATTATCTGGAATTGAAATCGAGTGAATGCGGTTGTGGAATGTAGCAAAACTGTGGCACAAGAGTAGCGGGAGAGAATCCTGATGATGCTGCAGAGGAAGAAGACAATATGGGGACTTTCATGCCACCACCATTGCTTCCCATTTTCATTGTCCAGTTTGTGAATCCAGGCAACAAAGGGATGCCTTCACCACTGGTTGCTCTTTCCTATCAGTTAGAAAAAAAATATATTAAGAAAAAAAAATAAGAAAAATGTTTCCACTCACTTCAATACTTCTCAAATCATATACTTCATTAGATATGGAGGACGGAGTAATTTTTATGCCAATTTGTGAGAAGGAATTCTGTTTATGCAAGATAGAAAATTACCGAAAGCGACCCATGCGACATGTGAAAAAGATACATGACAATCGGGATGATCAACTTAGAATGTATGCAAGTTAGGCAAATGAAATGTTAAAACTCTTCAAAAGGATAATCACCTTAGTATTTGGGGCTAAACCAGAATAAATGCCAGCAGTCCACATGGGAGCACACTTGGTTGGCATTGCAATCTCTTGGGGTGAAGTCAAAGCAGTTTCGACCTATCAAATCGCAGAAAGATACTCAATGGATGGCTACACAAAGACCTGAAATTACTTAACTTAATAACAGCAACAACAACATTCAGTTATCTTCAAAACCTACAAGTACTTTCGTTTGAGGATCCAATATTGCCAAAGTAAAACAAATGAAAAACATGTATTTGTAATTTTGAAAGATAAATGGTATCTGTTTTGGATAATTTTGCAAGCCTCACACGTAGTTTATATAGTTAATCCCTTGGTTTATTCCAGCAATAAAGTAAAATTCTCGAGCTTGTGTAACATGAAATGAAACTCAAGAGCAACAAGAGGCATGAGTTGAAGGATGTGAAGATACCTTTAGTCTCTTTCCATCAGGCAATTCATTTGATGTATAAGAGAAATGCAAATCCCTTGTTATGTTATTACCATGTGGCCCATCTGAAGATAACGACATCCCAAGGTTGAGATCAAGATTGTTGCCACGACCTGCATGCATAAATTTGTAAATCAATAACACACAAAATCTGCTATATTACTTCACAAATGAAAAAGAAAATACAAACCTCCATCTTTGGAGCCAAGAATTTCCCTTTCATAGTTATTAGGCTCAAGGTTAGTCACAGATTCTCTTCCATTACATTTTATGGCTGCTTGTTCGTAAGACCTTAAATAGAAACAAGAACTCCTCGGTGAGAATGAATCATATTAAATTAGCCTAGCGCAAGACCAAGTCTCTTAAGCAATCTAAATTCATGATTGCAAAAGGACCTTGCAGCTTCTGTCAAATAACCCAAAATAAATATACCTGCAAATAAACGAATTTTAATTTCATTTCAAAATAGAGGCTTTCCTTTCCAATCCATTTATAGTCTAATTGTCCTAAAATTGTACATTAATCACGATCCAACATACGAATACGTTTCAGAACAACGCATACAATTATTAGTCACCAATAGAGTCAGTCAACAACAGCAACTAATTGATCTAAGAATATAAAATAATAATAATATTAATATTAATATAATATAATCTTACTTATTTCCTAGGAATTGATCCATTCTTGCTTCCCATCGACCATATTTGTGCAGTGTAACGCCTCTGTACTTTGAGCTTCCTCGAGAGAAGCCATTGCTTTGACGGCGAAGAATGTGAACAAACTCTTCTTTTGTCAGGTTCTTCATCTGAAAAAAAGCCTTAACTACATAAGTTTCATTCATCTGATTTGCAAAGCGCATCTCGTTACCAGTGTACTATATATAGATCCAAACCTGTTTCGTGTCCTCTTCATAATCACCTATAGTGAAATTAATATCAGCATCAACCCCACGAAACTTGATAGCAGCACGATCGTATGCTCTGAAAGAACAAAGCAATTGAACTTAAACATTCTTTCCAAAGAGGACCAAAATCAAGAACTTGGTTTGAAAATGCCCAAAAATCTCAATTGTAAGTGAAAACCTTACCTAGCTGCAGCATGAGCTGTGTCAAACCCTCCTAAAAAACGGGGGGAAGAAAAAAGACAAATAGTTAAAGTAGAGGCCTAAATAAAGCATTAAGATTTCTGAACCCATGTATAGAAAGGGTGCAGATAAAAAAGAGTGTTACTTACCCAAATAGACCTGTTTACCACAATCCCTGCAAGCAAACGCAAAGATAAAGATCAACAAAGTATGATATTTACATAAATGCTCAAAGTACCACATAAATGATAGATTAATGCAGTCAAATAACCTATCCATAAAAGCATTTTTGCCATCGAGATAATTAATGGAATGTTGGATACTAAAATTATCCAACACAAAATTGTTTTCAAATACCCAATTATGCTCCGTCAATGGCAAAACAACAAGGATATTTTGGCTTCCAAAAGTACAATATTACTGTACCATTGATGAAAACAGCATGGTTTCAAAGGTGCTCCATAGCAAAGAACCACACACACTACACACACATGCAATTTACTTTAATTTGTGAATATGGTGTGTGTGTGTGTGTGTGTGTGTGTGAGAGAGAGAGAGAGAGAGAGAAATGGGAGGAGAGAGAGTAGGGACGAACCAGATATGGGACTCCCATCTCCCAGTCCTCCGGTAGAAAGTAACTCCTCTGTACTGCGAGCTCCGAGAGCGGGGCCCACGCCTGCTCTTCTTCACCTGAGACTGCGGCGGCGCCTTGTAAATCCCCAATTCCGCCTCCACGGCCTGTGGCGGTGGCGGCGGCGGCGGCGGCACCGACTGATGGAGCCAGTAGCTGGCGCTGAGCAACGATGGAGACGGCGGGAAAAGCTGAAGCTCCTGCCTGACCTCAGCATCATTGAGGACCTTCCCGAGGATGGAGAAATTGAGGGTGGAGATGACCTCATCCCCATTATTGGTGGTGGTGGTGGAGGACGCCACCGAATCCGTCGACTTGCCGCCGCCCATTTCGAACTCCACCGCCTCCACATTTAGATCCAACATCTCACCCCAAACAAAATACAAAACAACCACTCACACTCACGCCTCTATGTATATGTGTGTATCTACACAAACACAACCATACCTGCTAGGCTGTTGCCCATTATAAATCACACCAATAAGAAGAAGAAATAATATATATATATATATATATATATATGGAGGGAGAGAGGGGCAGAGAAGAAGAAGAAGAAGAACAAGAAGTGGCGGTGTATATGTATAAATCTGGAGAAAAAGTGATGAAGACCCAATAGCGGAAGAAAAAGAAGAAGAAGATAGAGGGAAAGAAGAAGAGCTGTTGGGTATAGATACAAGCTAGATGTATGTGTGTGTGTGAGAGAGAGAGAGAGAGAGTGAATTTGGTTTTTATGGAAAAAAAAAATTATTAGACTAATTTGAGGATAGGTACTTATAAAAAAAAATTATTTTTAGAATTAAATAATAATAACAACAACAACAACAATTGTTTAAAATTAAACATATGTATTTATTAAACTAATTTGAGGTTTTTGTGAAAATTAATAATCACAAAACAAATCAAGGTTATATTAGTCAATCAATATAACTATCAAAGGTTCCAATACAACTTAAGTCACACTATTATGGAATTACCAAGTTAGTTTTTTAATATTTTTAGAATGTCCGAACCTAAAATTATTTTTTTATCTAAATCAAACTATGAAACATGTTTTTTTGCCAAGTAGGATTAGACTCAGCACATTCGATAATTATACATGGAGATGACGGGTAGTTGCCTTGATCTGCTCTGCCCAAGTGCTTTACTTGTTCGATAATTATACATGGGGATGATGGGTAGTTGCTTTGATCTGCTCTGCCCAAGTGCTTTACTTGTGGGGATGTGGGAGAAAATATTCTTGATAATTATTTTAGTATGGTTAATACAAAAACTTTTAAAAATATTGTATACACATGATTAATATGTTAATTTTACACAATATTTTTTTAGTTTTATAATTAGTGTATATTTTATGTATAAAAATCAAAATTTATTTTTATTACATTTAAAAAACATATTCAAATAATTATACGGGCACCTGGACCACCTAAGTGCCGAATAACCGATTTGGAGGTGGCCGTTTCTATTGTAGGCTTAATCGGGGTCGAGGATCCCAGATCTAGCTAGCCATAACCGATTTGGAGTGTGGAGTTTTTGGATTGGTTATCCTTGGCTAAGGTCGGGCTCTTCTTGTACACCAAATTAAATTTGTTGTCTTGGGAGGTTGCAGTGCAGGTGATGTTAGGTGGTGGTCGGGGAGGGCTTTATTGTATCAATTAGGTGTGTATGGTACTTGTTTTGTTGGCTTTCTTTTAGTTTTTCATTTCAGTTTTTCATTTCAAGTCCAACTAAGTCTTGTTATAGTCTTCTTCATGGAGGTGTTTAGTCTTCTTTTTGGAGTTCTTTTGTACCCCCTTGGTCGTCTGTGTAATTCCAAGGGGGGGTGGATCCAGTCTTTGCGTTGGTTCTAGTTGTGTCTGTCGACACATTGGGTCTACTCCCTTGGTCTACTTGTTGAGCTCAACCAAAGAGACTCTCGATCTAAAAGTAAAGTTGGTCGTGAAATCGGCCAGATCTACAAGCCTACTATCAAAGATCAAATGTTCATGGGACCTAACAAAGGGACCAAACCAGATAATTGCTTGATAGAAAAGCTGAGCTCAGGACTTTAGTTAGATCAGAAGACTTGTACACAAAGACCTGAGCCGATCACACTAAGGTGGCAGAATGCTTAAAATAATGGCTACTTGCACCCGCCCTGACAAAAGCATGTTCGTTTACGCCGAAAAGTTTTATAGGGTCATGTGCAACATTTAATTCTTGTCTTTTCCATTTAATGCACAATTGTACTGCCCGAGGAACTATAATTGGGCCATCTTACTATATATAGTCCTAGGAATTCATTGTAAAGGGGTACATAAAATTTTTTGATAAGTGAGACAAATATTCGCTCATATAATATAGCATTTAAGGCCCGTGATCCGACTTTAATTAAAGAAATGTCCGACATCATTTTTATTCACTTTCACTCCAGTAAACCGTAAAATACCAAATTTTACTAGCTTATTCGTTGAATTACCAACATTAAATCAATTCAACACTAAATCAATGCTTTGGGTTGATCGAATTTCTTGATCAACAATGTCGTTTATAGTTATATATATATATATGTCTATCCTAGTTTCACGAGTTATGGTCATAGATCGAACTATTCCATACAGAGAGTTTAGCGTTTTTATCACTGAGAGCGTGTGAGATTTATTTAGATTTGATAATGCGAGATCAAATTCCAACATGTTGATGCATCGCTTGTAATTCGAATCGTTTATTGTTTTCAACTTGGTGATTGGGATGGACGTTATTATACTGCTTAGAGGATACATACGTGCACCTTCAGTCCACGCCATGGACAAAAGAGTAGTTAAATAGGTGAAGTAAAAAGTAGGTTAACTAAAGAGAGTTTAGATGAATAATTTATATTTGTACTTATTGGTCAAAGTAGGTCAAACATTTGCTGACGAGGAATATCCCGCGACTCTGGACCGTCCATTGCATGGTGCCATCTTCATTATTGCATTGTCCAACAAACCAATTCCTGTTATCCCCAACCCCACCGTTCCAAAAAAGGGGCCACTGACAAAAAAGCAAAGTATAATGTAATGAGATGAAAAATGGAGAAAGTTGATTTGTCTACCAAAATATTGATTGATATATGCAGCATGCAATGCACCCCCACAAGAATCTTGTCATCTAACAACTTTCCCTTTAAGGCAAAATGTAACTTAAACATATCTTAGTTGCATACCCATTTGGGTTAAAACATCATAGTCCAACCCCAGTCAAAACCATAGCAATAAAATTCTAATAATTGGTCTGTAGTAAAATTTTTTCAAAAGTCATATTTGACTATTATTTTTGACATAAATGCAACAATATTATAAAATTCTCATTTACAATATTTCCTATATCGGTAATACACTTCGTTGGCATTGCTTATAAGCGGTGTATAATTGTTTAACGGTTTAGACTTTTGCCTCCTTCCTTTGTACCAAAAAAAAAAAAAATTGGCAAAATTAACGCCTTAAACCAATCTTATCCGAAATTGCCGAAAGAATATCACTTTCTTTTAGGGCCACCTATGTTTGGTAAAACTAGCTGATAAGCTAGCTTATAACTTATATGTAATTTTCGAGCTTATAACTTATAGCTTATGACTTATAGCTGAAAAGCTAGCTTATATGATAAAAGTGTTGGTAAAATTAGCTGATAAGCTAGCTGAAATAACAATTTCAACTAGCTTATTTGAAAAGCTACTTAAACAATCTTATGAGATAAATTCGAGATTTTTAAAAATGTTCGTCCTACCAAATATAGAATTAAAAATAGCGATTCTTACGCTAGGACTTGGTTCTCATTTGAACCACATCCTATATATATATATATAGGGGGCGGATCAAATGCGACCAGCTCTTAAAATGCGCCAGCTCTTAAAATGCGGACATCTCTTAGCAACTACAGACAACTAAGTTAGCAACTACAGAGAACTAACTTAACTAACCTAGCAACTACAGAGAACTAACCTAGCTACTACTAACCTAGAAACTACTAACTTAGCAACTACAGAGAACTAATTTGGCAACTATAGAGAACTAACCTAGCAACTACAGAGAACTAACCTAGCAACTACAGAGAACTAACCTAGCAACTAGTAACCTAGCAACTACAGAGAACTAACCTAGCAACTACAAAGAACTAACATAGCAACTACAAAGAACTAACCTATCAACTACAGAGAACTAATCTAGCAACTACTAATCTAGCAACTACATAGAACTAACCTAGCAACTACATAGAACTAACCTATCACCTAGAGGGAACTAACCTAGCAACTACAGAAAACTAACCTAGTTGAAAGGTTAGTTGTCAACGGTCAACGACGGAGTCAACGACAAAAGTCAACAGTCAATGCCGGAAGTCTACGGTCAACGCCAGAGTCAACGGGTCAAAATAATCTTTAAATAATTAAAATAAGAAAAAGAAAAGAGTAAATCTTGACCACACAATGATGTACCAAATCTTGTGGCTAAAAATGAGTCTCACGTCCTCACTTTAAATAAGTAGATGCATTGGAACCAATCCCTATATATATATATATATATATATATATATATCCAAAAATCCTTAATTATGAGAAGTCCCTAAATTATTTCCAATTTAAAATTTTGGTGACTCACAGTCTATTGAAAAATTTAGTTAATTATGTAGAAATGTTATGAAATTTATTACAAAATCTTTAGAAGTACCAATGTATATATACCTTTAAAAATCATGTACAATTTAAACTAAATACCCTTGATCTTTTTAAAAGTGTTAATATGAAAACCTTAATAAATACATTGTCTTATATTTGCACAAATTAGACTGTAATGTAGTTTATTTGGTTAGTTTACTTTGCACGTTATTCCTTATGTTAATTCAATTGAAAAAGAACGTACTAAAATCCAATTTATTTACGAAGTGAGGAATATTTTGGATCCATCCACATTCCTACAAGACAACCAAATTATGGTATAGTTTTACTGAAAAAAAAATTATTTACCTCACAAACTATTATATATGTTATTTTTGTTATACCTCTTAAAGAATATTTTTATTCTTATTTCCTCATAAACTACAAAATTTTGTGAGTTGCCCTTCCACGACTTATTTTCGACCAAAAAAATTGGTAAAATTAATTTTCTTACTCATGCTATTTCTTATGTAAATTGATAAAAAGATATGTACTAAAATTCCCGTTTAGTTCGAAAGGGATGAATATTTTAGCTCCTCTTCATTCCAACAAGCTAGCCAACCAAAATATGGAATAATTTTACACACAAATTCACATATACTCATAGATGTACACACAACATAACAAGAGATTCCATGAAAGATTGACATAAAAGTAAAACTCACCCGAAAAGGCAATGTAGGAGGTTCAGATTCAGAAGCCCATCACTTATTTAATGTTATCTTGGAAGTATCTCTTTTTTTGTATTGGAACCAAAAGACCATCGACCATCGTATGGTAACAGTTGAACTTCCCAATTTGGGGGTGGCCCTGTTATACATTTTTTATGCCTAAATATAGCGCAAGTG